TGACATACAGACATAGCCACTGTGACTTACGTTTAGTCCAGAAACATGGTTTAGCCTAGCCTCAAATGACAATGTGAAAACAATGTGACCGTGTGAAAGGGGCGGCTCGTAGTGATGAACCTACAGAGAATCCTCTGGAGCTGCCGCTCCCCTCCGCTCTATGGAGCTTTTTAGCGAGTTTCAGCTCATTGTTTTTCTGTGTGGACCACAACTTTACTGTTTGGATTCCCTCTCAAAACTCTCATAGTGTCATTTTCTGCTGCTTTTTAAAATTTTATTTTAGAGAAAGGGTTCACTACCTGCTCGGCACTAAACAGCAGACAGACACAGTTAAGAGACTGGCTGGTGAACAAAGTGCTGCATTTGGCAGCTACAGAGCCAGATATTTCCCTCAGGAATTGTTAGAGACAAAAAAACAGAGCTGAAAGTGAATATTTTACATAAACCAGGTCCCATTGCTCCAAATGAATGCTAATGAAGCTCAGTAACTGCTGGATATAGAAATATTATTCACCTAAATTTTAAGTTAAGTTAATACTCACGTTTGCTCACATGCAATACTTGAGTAAATGCACTTAGTTATGTTTCACCACTGGTTCAAATGGATTTAGCACTGAAAACAGAAAACAGAAAGGCTGAACCATTACTAAAAGAGCGGGTCACAAAAAAAAAAAAAGAAAAGGGGGAGTAGTGACAGCTGAACAAAAAGAGCGAGTGAACAAACTGTCATGGTTGTTAAAGTCTTGGCTGGGGTTTCCCCAGAACTATCAAAGCATTAAATCATCTTTAACTGACTAAGGAACAAGGATCACATCTGATAATTGTGCAAATATTCGTTTCTGAAACAAGGCCCCAGTTGTTATCTCTGACTGTGACTCATGGTCTTGTAGGTTTAAGGTGGGTGTCTCCAACAGCAAGCTTTGGGAGTTTCTGCAGATTGAAATGAAACTGGTCCAGGTCTGCTGTGGATCCTGCAACAATACACTTATATAATCGCAGCAGCGAAGAAGTGTTTGATGTCTGTCTCACAGGTTAAAGATTTCTGGGTCTCACACACTCAGTCATGGAAAAAAAAAAAGACAACACCACTCTGTTAGAACAAGTGTTTCACCACATAGTCCCTCTAAACTACAGAGTTTACAGAACTTATGAGGGAATACAGCAGTTTAGATAAAATAATGCTCTCAGTACAGTTCAACATAAATGAATGATGGTGCAGTTTGTTGGTATGGTTCCAAACCGCTGATAATGTACAGTAGTAAAGCCAGAGGAATGCTGCCAGGCAACAAAGCTTTCACTGTGTGGCAGGGAAATATCTTCTCTATCTGCCTCTCTGTGGTTTGGAAATACTCTCCTTCTGCAATCTACACAATGGAATGATGCAGTACACATGTACTGTACATGCACACACTCAAATACAATTGCATGGGCTCTCTGCTGCACAAAAATCCCTGCTCGTGTTTTTCTACACATACAGAGTGCCCTCTGTGGTGGACCTTTTATCCAGCTGGAATTTCATACAGTGTGAGCGTGCGGCTGAGGGGGGTCAGGGTGAGGGGTCAGAGGTCAGTAGAGTCAGATGAAGTAGCTGATTGTACAGTAGGACAGAAGTCCTGAACATTAGGAATAAGTGAGTAGGCGGCAAGGCAGCAGAGAGGCAGAAAGGTCAGACAGCAGATGAGCACAATCAGCCCAGCTTTGTGCTATCACATTGTTCCACATACACACACACACACACACACACACACACACACACACACACACACACACACACACACACACACACACACACACACACACACACACACACTCACACACACACACACACACACACACACTGCATCTTTCCTCTCCTTCTTTCTCTGTTTCTCCGCACTCCATATCCTCCTGTTTCTTTGCACACACACTTTTATGGCTTGAAAATGTTTTGAGACAGTTTTGAGACAGGACCTGAGTGTTTTGGTGCACTCTAGTGTTGCACTTTTGAACATGCAAATGATAGCAGCCCCTAAGCCAAATCAAACTGTTAATTTCCTGTGTTGTCATGAATGAATTCTCTTACTTTATTAAACTATTGCTCAAGTTTTCAATGACCAGTTTTTCCTACACACAGAGTTACATGGCTTCCGAAATTGTGCAAAACAATTCTGTAAAAAGTTTTTAAAGCATATGTAGAAAGTAGATGCATGGAGACATTGTGGGCCTGGATTTGATCCATGTTTAACCCTAAGATTACCATGTCAAAAAACGTGGGTGATTGCTTTCAGAAGTTTTCCTGGCTTTCAAAAACACACCAACATTGCCACCTACAGGAAGCTGTTCACACCTATATCTGAATCAGAAGAAGGTTTTCACATACACAGACTTTTACAAAATATAAAAAAAATTGGCCATGTACAGTTTTTCTGTTTTTAGACTGAAAGAGCTGTAGAGTTTGTGCAGGAATCACTAAAAAATACAATATGAGTAATGTACAGAGATAATGGGCCAAAGTATGTGAGTTACTGTAACACATTGAGACAGATGTGGAGACTGTATGTTTATAGATAGTGTAGTGTGTATGGGGCGGGATAAGAGTCCATGCCAGAGGGTCCCGGGCCTTGTTGATGAGGCCAGCTGTGGACAGTAAGAAACTGTTCTTGTGGCAGGAGGTTTCAGTCCTGATGGATTGCAGCCTCTTGCCGGAGGGGAGTGTGTCAAACAGTTTGTTTCCAGAGTGAGAGGGGTCGGCCACAATCTTTCTTGGAAAGTGCTGGAGGTTTGTCAGATTGCTGCCAATCATCTTCTGTGCAGCGCAAATCATATGATGCAGTTTTCCCTTGTCCTTGGCAGTGTCAGCAGCATACCAGATGGAGATGGAGGAGGTGAGGATGGACTCAGTGGTGGTAGTGTAGAAGTGCACCATCAGTGACCTTGGTAGGTAGATTTTTTTCAGCTGCCACAGGAAGCACATTTTCTGCTGGGCTGTCTTGGTGATGGAGCTGATGTTCAGTTTGGTGAGGGAGCAGATTGAGCGTGTCTACCATACTACATACTGCATATATACTAATTTTCTTAGTGAAGCCTACTACTCTTGCAGTTGTATTCAAGAAGTCGATGCACTTGCAATGCCAAAAGTATGGTGCACTAAATCAGAATTATGAAATAGTAAGTCAAGATTTTGACTTACTATCTTATAATGTTGTCTTGGTATATTTTGATGCGATTAAATCTGCGGTACAAAACTTCCTGCTTGAGTGCACTCTAGTACTCATACAGAGGGTCTGGTCAAAAGTCAAAAGTTTGATGTTTTGTATCAAAATTTTGACTGTTTTTATTTGTCAATCCTTACATTTCCTGTGGGCATCCACAGTTTCACCACAAGTTATGAATAGCCTCTCTAGCTTCTTTGTGCATTGCATTGTGGGTCAGTAGTGTACATCTAAAGCACACTCACATTTTAATAAGTTTTTTTTACTGTTCCTGAATTAATTCACAACACAATATATAGGAAATCTGGACTCTGCTATAGAAGGTCAGTGAAGAGAAAGTGAGTAGAACTATTTCTCAGCTTGTTCATGGTATCATGGTACTTCTCAGATCTTTGATAGACATCAGTGTGTGCTCTGCTGATTATGTCGGCATGACTTAAAGGTAGCATATTCTTTTGCACTTCCAGCTACAGTATATCTGCTGGGCTTATGTCAAACACACAGTGGTGAACACAGCCAAATACCCTTGTTGAACACAAGAGGGCACCCTGAACCTTCTATAAGAATTTGTACAATATATAGGCCACAATTGTGGCAGAGGTCATTGCAAGTATAATTATAATAATTATCTGGCCATGCTGATGAATTGGACCATTATTTTTTCGTGTCAGTTAAGTAAACAGTTCATATGTCTTTAAGGAGCTGGGTTAATACAGCTAAAGATGATAATGGGATACATATATTTAACATTTTTTAACCAGCTCACAGCAATGCTCAGGAACACCCTTTTACACACAATCATACCTGGGAGCTCCTCCGTACAATGACAGTCTGGTCTGTTGGCCACTGAGCAGCTCCAATGATGCGGTGAGGGGTTCAGGACAAGGCCTTGTTCAATGGCATCTCAGTGGTGGTAATGAGGGAGGGGCAAGTGCTGCTCTTTCACTTTGCCCACTCATCTTTATTTTTGCGGACTTAACCTCAGGGTCAATAACCCCCACTACTCTACCTCTAAAGTTAAGGGCACCGCTCCCCCAAATAGGTCTCATAATTTACTTTCAACACTAGGAGATGGTAATTAATGTGTAAATTAAACATATGTGTTATATGTGCCTTACATCATTATTAGGGTGTTTAAAACGGAGCAGGATAAGTATGAGGACATACTGAGTCAGGATATGTGACCTATAAAAATAATATACGAAAGATGAATACATGTTATTTATGGTGATATGCTAGTACATATGAAATATGTGCCTGGTAGTTATTATGTAGGTATCAGTATTCAATTGCAAATATACTGTATGTCGCCAACATGGGTGACAACATCCATGCAAGCCATATGCCAGCAGCATTGTATTGTAGGTCTATCTTGTAGCTATTGGCAATGACACTGCAGTTAAGAAGTTTAAAAAAAAAAAAAAACTGGTGTTCAGTTTAGCTCAGAACTTTTTAAAGAATATGGCTGCAAAATATTTGCTTTCCAATTATAAAAATAACAACTTACAATTTCATATATATTTCCCATGCGTCTGGGTTAAAAATAAACTTGTATAAGCATTTGATTTCCCCACCCAAAAATGTCTTAGAATATTTAGACATGCTTTTTTATCGTTTGGAGGTAATGGTTTATAACTCGGGTTATTCCCTGTGTTATGGTCAAGGCCCGTCTGCAGTATTCTGGCTGCGGGGAGAAACGTTATTTTGAAGAGGGGGAAGACTCTTCTCATATTTCACTCCAAGCAGACCCGCGCTCCTCCCTAAACACATGGGCTTTTACTTTGAAATCAGCTTTCCCAGACGCTCGCGTGGAGCTGCGCGTTCCCCTGGGAGGGAAGTGCGCGCGACAGCCTGTCGACCAATTTGAAGTTTGCGGCAAAGAAAATGACCGAATGGTGATATTCATTGTGCCATTTACCCAACTTTTAAAAAAAAAACAGCAGTTAACTGTGGAAATAGTTTTAAAACTAAAGTTGTTGGTTCAGTCGCGCGCGGCTGCAACTTCAGGACCACCGGCTGTCCAGTAACCTCCAGTCGACGGGATGTCTTAAATGACTTATTTGAAGAGGCTGGAGTGGAATGCACTCGACCGGGCATATGAACCATGGTAAGACTCGTTCTCATGCTAAAGTCCCCCTTCAGCCGTGCTGTCTGAAACACTGAACAGTCTGAAACCCCGTTTGGAGTTTGGGCTCAGTGAAGTGCTGAGTAGGCACATCCTGGACCTGTAGACCTAAGTTTCAAGCTTGAAGGATATCAAGCTGTTGACATAAGAATTTTAGTAATTATAAATACGTATTATAGCTGTATTTTCTCTAGGGTGTATTCCTATGGTGGAAGAGGTATTAACAGAAGAAGTATTAGGCCTGTCAGCAAAAATGTAATCAAGTTTGTGTTCTTTAGAAAAAAAGCACTTGTGAATGATGATGTAATATATTTCATTATTAGGTTGTTAATACTAATAAATCATTGCTTTTTGTTGGTGGAACTACTTTCAATAACTAGGGGGTCCTGCCCATTGACCCCATGAACTGTTGACATTATCAGTCAACACTATATCCTGGCTACTGAAACTGGACAGAATGCTGCTGTTCATATAGTATTTGGTGTGCTGCATTAGAAAAAAAGGTATATTTGACATTTACTATCTCTCTCCAGCTTTGCAGTTTCCCATTTTAGATCACTGTAAATCTTTGGGTTTAGCTGGTTGGTCAGACAAAGTAAGAAATTTAAAGACGTCATCTTGGGCACTCACCCCCCATGACTCTACGCAAATACTTAACACAATATAGAAGTACACAAATCACTGTGTCGTCTGACAGTTTTTTTATTTTTTTGTGAGAGGTAAACTTTGAAAATAGCTCGGTTGCCAAGTCAAAACAGTGTTTTCCTATCTCCTGTCGGTTGATCGTCTTGTCTTTCAAGCAGTCTCTATAGTCTCACATTTCAAATTGGTTCCATATGCAGAGCAGAGAAACGCTCTTGGTTTGAACCGCCACATGGAAACCAAGAGGAAAACTCTGCCCATTCTTTCCTTCTCTCCTCTTTTCTTTTTCTCTTCTCATATTTGGCCAAAATCTGTTTTGGACATTTCTGACTAATTAGCCACTGAATGTACTTTTGTTTGTGGGTGTAGTGAACATACAGCTACATTGATTTGGGTTGTAGTTGCCAATTTAATTCAATGAAGGTGACAGATGGACGCAAATATATGCGTCAGAGTGACTTTTTAACTCGGAAGTCCTGTAAATCTGCTGATACCTTTCCTTTTGTAATATTTGTTTGAAATGTAACAGTCTAGTCCTCTGCAGAGCTCAAGTCTACATACCACTGTTCTTCAGTTACGGGGCCCACATTGGAATTCAGTGCTGGACACACAAAACCCTCCAGACCCACAGTATAGTCAGTCTTTGTATGTTAAACACCAGGGACTGCTGCCCTGCTGCAGCTTATTGTGTTCTCAGCTGTGTGTTCCTGTTCCTTTGCTCCACGTCTGTGTGGAAAGAGGAAGAAAAATAGAGGGTAGACATGCTTTAACTGATTGGAGTGATTGAGTCTATATCAGTTGAGCGTGCCCACACACACTCATTTAGAGTTTGAAAATGACAGAGTGTGGTTTAGTGCTTCAGGCTGATTCCACCACTCTTTCTGTTTACTCTCTCTCTCTCTCTCTCTCTCTCTCTCTCTCTCTCGCTCTCTCTCTCTCTCTCTCTCACACACACACACACACACACACACACACACACACACCTATATCTGAGTCAGAAGGCACTAGGACCCAGAGCTCTTCAGTGGCTGTGAAATCTGTTGTGAACTACATTATTCCTATCTTTTCACAAGGCCCGCCAGGGTCACTTAATTGAGAATTATCTAACATGCACTAGACGATGTGTGTCACACACATATTATGGATATCATATGTGCAAAAGCAAACATACCTGCATTCCTTCCCGTTAAATAAACCAAGCAATTTTAAATTACAGGAAATGGCCACCTCATTAAAAAGCCAGGTTTCTGGGTATAATTAACGATTTTGCCTCAGGCAGCACACTTGCATATGACGGCCTTAATGCATGCACATTTACCAACAACCTCCTTTACACGCATCCACGCTCACACATTTCTGTATGGATTCGCCCTCCCACTCAAGCTGACGCACACATGCAGCGGGGCAGAGCATTTGTTGCACTCTTGCATTATGAGTGACCCATGAAATCTCAGCCTCCGTCACCTGTAAATATGCAACGTCCTGCTAAATGACCGGAGTGGAAACTAAATCAGATTTACCACAAAGCCATGACCCTCATATTTAGTTACTAATGAGTTGTTCTGTGATCTGATGAGATAAGCGTGCGGTAGATTCAAATAGTTGATCTACTTTGGGAAAAAATCAGCTACAAGTGTAAGGCACAGCATGACTTGAATTCACTATACAGCTTCACCAGAGAAGATGGCACATAGCTTAAAATGGGTCCATTTCAGTTCATATTCAGGTTCCAACTTCCATTCGTCCCAGCAGATGTTGCAGTGCAAGGTTTCAGTACAGTTTCCAAAAAATTAATTATCATCAAAATTCTCATTGTGAGCAGCCAGTTAATGTCAGCAACAACCACTATTCAGTTGGCCTGACTGACCTTGTTCAAAGCCCATATTTTGACTTGTCAGCAAAAGCTGAGGTGTAATTAATGACACTAACGATGGCTCAGTTCCATTAAGTGTCCCAAAGAGCCAACATACACAATAGTAGGGCCTCGAAAGTGGTTGACCTAAATGGCTGGCAGTTGTTATAATTAATGTTGGTAAATACACAGCATTATGTCTGTTTTGAGTCACATCTCTACAGTCAGTGCATTTAAATGTACTAAACCGTGTTTACTGTGAACCAGATAAGCTGATATCTGAAATGTCATGGTAAATGAAAAACCTGTTATTTTGTAATTGTTTAGGGGATCAGAGAAACCTGATTCCCTCCACGTAGACTTCTCCCGTGATTTCTTGGCCATGTATATGGGTAACTGGGCTTCTTCAAGATCTGTTCGGGGGCCTGTGTCTGCTGGTAACGTCACATAACATGACTGGCTGTTTGTTTTTATGACGTAGCAGATGGTGATTGGCTGTATGTTGTAGTGTTTTTTCGGTAGCTTAAATTGATCAGCAGCTAACATTACCATTGTAACATTAATTCAGCGAATCGTGGCTTTCTGCTCTTAGGGCTTTTACAGCAATTGTCAGGCTGTGTTAAGTCCCGTTTAATAAGTAGAGCTGTATTTCATTGTGTAAGTTCTCCCAGAGCCGTTAAATAATATTATTTAACGGCTCTTGGGTCTCCATAGTTGATCCGAGGACCCATAAAAACTGTATCCGTAAACACTCCAATGTACAGCCAATCACAATCTGCCACGTCGTCGTCATCTGACCCCCCGAGCACATCTGGTAACTACACCAGAGTAATTTAAAATACCTGTGGAGGTGTGCAGGGCCTGAAGAAAAAAAATACCTGAAATGGTGAACCTTATGCTGTGGAATGCCATTCAAAGTCGGAGTTCCTACTTGCAAACTCTTGGCAAATCCATCTACCCTGTCTTCATGAAATGAAAATGCCAAAAAATGTAAAAACATTAGGAAATATACAATATTTACTGACTTTTGCAGATTATCAACCAATGATAATATCAATGTATACCACTTGTTTTCATTAGAATGAATATCTTTTTAATTAACACCAAGGAAACTGCTGAGGGTTCAAAAAGCTGAACGAAGGTCACATAGCTGATGCGTAGTTGAGCTGGCACTGCTGCTATCAAGCTTCTCTACTGGCTCTGATTGCCTAGTTTGCAAGACTACTGAAAAGAAGCCTTCAGCCACCATTTGTCACATAATCATTGCCTTGCATGTCATAGCAGTTCCTTGCGTCACCTGACCAGAGACACACCATATTTTTTGACAAGTCGAGCCAGCTCTCCCTATCTAATTTTCTTATATTTAGATCTTATCACAGTGTCGCCAAATCAAGAGAAACAGAACACTTATTAGCAACAGGTGTAAATGCAACAGGCCTGTAATCAGATGTCATTATCCAGATAACATATCTACATAATACGAGGTGTAAGTGGGGTTAAAGGCTCCTGGAAGACCAAAAAATATCTTACATGTAACATTTGTATTGTGCTACAGCACTGTGCTAGTGTCAAGCTACCAACAAGTAACCACAAAAAACAGTATGTTAATCAAGGTTTTGTAATATAAAGTGAGAATATAAAGCTAAGTGTATATTGTTCATTTAGCCAGCTTAAATATGTGTTATGTTATGAAGCAGGGAAAATAAGCTTCCTACTCCCAGTGATTAACTTGGGTGACAAACCAAGACATTTTAGGAAATGAATATAGACCCTGTGTAAGTCTATATCATGCTGGCCAAATGTTTATTGGACATGTTTACAATATATGGAAGCAAATAAACCAGTCACAGAGTGAATAAAAGATCTATGCAAGCACATTTACAAAAGTAGCAGACATTAAGAAGATATGAACGCATGCTGTCTTACAACCTCTGGCATTGGCGTGGCTGTTTGTATAGAATGAAAGAGCTGCTGCTGTCTGAAGTGTTGCGGCGTTGGCTTTGTACGGTAATGAAGACCAACAAGACAGCGAACAATAGGAGAGACTTCAGTGGAGTGAAAGGGACTTCACAGGCTTGTTGCCTCCCACTCAATCTGCTGCGAGTACAACTCCGCGAGGGGCACTGTCCATGCAGCCATCTGCATGAAGACTCATGACGTGCAGTATTACAAAAGCAAACCAAGTGGGGGTTAAAAGATAAAGACAGGCATTCAGACATAAGGAGAAGGTAGGGGAGGGGGTGAATAAACAGAGTGAAGGCTGGAATAAGTATGGCAACAGTTGTGTTTATAGTCAGGGGGGGACTTTGTAGTGGACGTGTTATAACAGATCAGTGCTAAAAGCCATTTGCTTTATCATGCCTGATGGGTTAACACTGGCTGGGTTCCCCCTGCTCCTCATTCGGCATTTAAGAGAGGTAGCCTTGTAAAAAAACATACTGTTGAGGAGGAATGCCACTCTTTTTCTGTAGTATTCACTCCTCCCTCT